TTACACTTAAGACTGGTTTTGTGGTCCAGGGTCACATATCAAGTAAATACATCCAAATTTGCCCCTATAGAAACAAGCTGACAAAAACACTTTTTTCTAAAAGTGAAAAAAAATCAAATAAATTCACCTAAGGTTAAGGTGTAGGTTAGTATGGAAGCCAGTTTCTGCCACAGGAAAAATTAATTAAAAAAAAGGTAATTGTGAATTTCTCTCACAATTCTGACAATATATCTCACAATTTCTCACTTTTTCGTCAGAAAAAAAGTCAGAATTGTGAGATAAAAAAAAAAAAAAACACAATTATCTTTTTATTTTGAGGTGGAAACAAAAAAAACCTGCCAGATGTAAACTCAGAATTCAGATGAAAAAGTCGGAACTGCGAAGTTTATATCATATATAAATTCTGGGTTTATATCTTCCAATTCTGACTTTTTTTCTCAGAATTCTGTGAAAAAAAATATGAATTGTAAGATAAACATTTCAAAATTACCTTATTGTTTTATTATGTGGCTGAAACAGGCTTCCATAGGTTAGTATATAGTATTTATAATTAGCGGTATATAAAAATTCACGTGTTTTGACGTGTTCTTGCCTGTGTGATGTAAGGACCACTGCCCTGCCACCCTGAATCACACTCATGATGGAGTTCCAGAGGAACCTCCGAGAGTGAGGATCCATTCCTGTGGTTGGCTCATCCTGGCACAGGGGGAAAAAACATGCTAGTAACAATCCTTATCTTATTCTGAGATAAATCACACACACAGGCCCTTACTAGGAGCAGAAGAGCTGGACAGCCAATCATTGCAATAGCTGTCGAGAGTTTACGCTTGTTTCCACCACTGTATGTGCCGGCAGTGTAGCCTGCATACTCAAATAAACCCAGTTTCTGAATTCCCCATTCAGCCACCTGCATCAAAGAGAGACAGAGGTCTCTGTCAGAAATCCTCAGAGAGAAAGAAATAAGAAGAGATACGAAAGTGGAATTTGGTCTCACTCTGCTGATCTCAGATTCCGGGACTCCTCTGAGCCGAGCGTATAAGTGCAGATGTTCTCTTCCTGTTAGAAGATCATCTATGGCATCAAACTGAGGGCAGTAGCCCATGTTCTGGTGCACATCCAAAATGTTGGTAAGAATGCTGGAGCATCACAAGAAATCAACCAAGTTAATGACAAAATCAAAATGTGTTGAAATCAAAATTAGTATAAAGTGTGAAATTTGCTACATCACTAGCAATACCAAACAAAATAGTAAAAATGACAATGGTTTCCTCATACAAATTCCTACTGGGTGTAGCTATGGTGTTTATGTGCAGTTGCTAGGGAGTAATGAGTGGTTAGTGTGTTGCTATGCAGTTGCTAGGGTCTTCTAGGTGGTTGCTAGTGTAAAAATAACAATTGTGTCAAACAGTTTGCTGAACAGTCTTCCTGCTCCTTTAACCCCACCCACTCTGGACAAAGTCCAATCAAACAGGTAGTCTCACCCCAAACTCAAACTATAAAATGCAACAGTTGTGATCAGGAAGTAAAAATCACATTAATTTTCTCCGTAGTGGGATTGATTTGTAAAGACTAAGTTGCTACCTAATTGATGGTATACAGTGGTGTGAAAAAGTGTTGGCCCCCTTCCTGATTT